CCCCAAAACCCCAAAACCCCAAAACCCCAAAACCCCAAAACCCCTTCATTACATTCATAAATAGAATAAATAAAATGGCTTCATTTATGAATTCAGGTGCTGATGGCTCCATGTTTCCTGACATAAACTCTTCCTACAGAAAAGAGACCGTCAATGAAATTGGAGTACCAGTCAAGAGATTACTTAAGCAACAAAGAATGAGTGCTGTGGTGAGCAATCCACAGAATCTCATGGGAAATGTCTACTTGAGAGATAAATTTAAACTTCCTGACCCTAATAGAGGGAAAATACCAAGGCAAATAGGGGGTGCTTCGAGTACTATTAATGCTAAGCCAGCAGGTAAGGCCTCCAGGCCTAAAAGAATCTTACCTAAATCCATTAGAGATGATCCTGCAGCTGATGGCCCTAAGATTACTGAAGATGATCTCCAAGATGGAATGATGAGCTTACTTAACAGAGGAATGATTCCTAAGGGAGTTGATGTCACTCCTGCTTTTGAAAGAGGAAAGGCTCCTTTCGGGTTTGGGCGAGCTACAATTCATAACCATTCTAAAAAGATGTTAAAATAAGCCAAAGACGCCTTCAATAACTTACAAGAAACCTGACTCTGCTGAGAAAAACTTATTTGGACCGGCTACTTTTATCACTGCTGAAGAAGGCTTTGAGAACTCCTACCTAAACAACATTCAAAAATCGGATGACAACCTGTTCCCGCATCATCAGTACGATAAGGAGGAAGCTAAAGAAAATGAACTTCAAAATATCGAGCCTGAAAATGAAGCGATGTCTGACATTCAAGAAGACCAAATACAAATCAGGGAAGAAGAGGAAGAATTTCAGCTCAATGCCAATGACAACCAGACTGCAGAAGGAGAAGGACTATATTCCATGTACCAGATCAGTATCAAAGGAGGGAAAGTTGTAGAAACATCTCCTGAGTATATGAGCTTTAAGAGAGCAAATATCACTAAATGGGGTGCAGTTTCACTTGTGCTCTACCTCCTTGAGAAAATGCTCAATCTGTATCACGTCCCATATGCCTCGATTGACTGTCATAGATTAGTAGCGTTAGCTGAAGAAGAGCTCACTAGGCCAAATCACGAAGAGCTTCTCCAATGCTGTATAAACAGATCTCAAGTAGAAGAAGCTATTAATAACCCAGTTAAGAAATTTAAAGGCCCAAGTGGGCCAGATCTGGCTGCGATATGCGTCCAAAAGAACTGGCGTAGGTTCAAGGCTTACACAGCTTTCACTCTTTTGAAGTATTCTATGTCCAAAGCGACCATCATCCAGAGAAGATGGAGGCTCTACCAGCTGATGAAAAACACGAAGGCTAAAATAAAGCAATTCAATGAAGAAAGTATCAGCGAATGGAAGATCATGATGAAGGAATTCAGAAGAAGATGGCCAGATGTCAAGAAGAAACGCCGAGTAGAAATCCATATCAACTCATTCTCCTTTGCAGAAGAGAAAAGACTCTCTATGGAGAAGTTCCAGCAGAGAGAGAATTCCCAGATTTCAAGAATTTTTAGTGTAAAAGACCCTAAAGTTGATGTCATCTATGTGGCTCCTTTCACTCTGACCAATGAGGTGTATGAATACTATAAGAAGATCCTTGAGCTGGGTGAATTAGAAAAACCAGAAAATCGCTTTCATATTGTTGTTCCTGAGAATTATGTAAAATTTAAAGAGACGATGTCATTGACTCAAACACTAATCTACTCACCGAAGGCTATTAAGAGGATCAAAACTCTTATTGAAGAACGGCAGGCATATATAGTCCCTGGGTTATCAACCAAAGAGGACGTAAAACTGTCAATCAATTTAGGAATCCCTATCATGTGTGGAGACCCATCCAAGGTTGGAATGTACTCTACCAAATCTGGAGCGAAGAGGATCTTCCAACAGGCTGATGTTCCTAGCCCAATCTCTGCATACGATATCTATGACAAGAGAGAATTTGAGGTTTCTTTATGTAAGCTCATTGCCCATAACTTATACGTAAATACATGGATCTTCAAAATAGATGACGAGTTTAACGGCAGAGGTCATGCTGCCCTTAACGTAGACTCTATTTAAAACTGTCATTGAACTTAGGAAAAGAAAGTTCGAAATCACTGATAATATTATTGAGAATAAACTTGTTGAGGTAATTTCAAAATTATTACCGAAGAAAGTCAAAATTGCCATGCCATCTTTATACAGAAACTGGGATGAATATTTAGAAGCCTTCTGACATGTTGGAGGAGTCATTGAAGCAGCTCCTTCATGTAATCCTAAGCAAGTAGTCAGCCCTTCAGTCTCTTTCTTTGTTGCTCCAGATGGAGAAATTGACTTAATTGGGTCTTTTGATAGGTTCTCTGCTAAAGAATACATCAATGCAGGGTGATTTTTCCCTCAAGTGTCACTTCCAAATATCAATTTAATGACTTTATGCAAATCATTAGGAGATATTCTTTATGAAAAAGGAGTCATAGGTCATGTGACAGTGGATCTTGTCGCTTTTCCAGACCCTACTAACCCTAAAGCTCATCCCCTCTTCTGGGCAGTGGATATAAATTGTAACCTCTCAGATTATGCAGCTGCTTGATTCCATTTCGATCTTCTCATGGAAGGAAGAATAGATAAATTCACTGGTCAATACTTTGTTGAAGTTCAGAAAGATCCAGATGAACTCGTTGATGCAGAGGCTGCTCATGAGTCTAAAGATAAAACGAATAAAAATGAGTTCTTCGAACCTAGAAGTTTCATGTTTTGCAAATATTTACACCATCCTGGTCTTGCAACCATCCAGTTCAATACCTTCTTTCATATGTGCAGGCTTGAAAGTATCAGCTATGACATGGAGAAGAGGACAGGATCCACCTTTTGTCTCTATGATTGCCTCCAAGGAGGTGTTATCGGTCTCATAACAGTAGGAGAGCATCGAAAAGTAACAGTCAACTACATGGTTGAAGCTCTCAATTTCATCCAAAATCAAGCAGGAGTAATCCCATCAAAAGCAGTAAACGAAGACTCAACGAGAGTAGATGAGATAAACGTGGGTGATGTATTCTCCCGAGTAGTATCCCTGGTCTCTTATTTCAAAAAGGGTGGGTACAAATCGTCAAATTACTACAACAAAACTCATTATTTCTAAACATATTGCTGATCATCATCAATTTTTTGTCTAAAACAGGGGTTTTGGGGTTTTGGGGTTTTGGGGTTTTGGGG